GTGTGTGTGTGTGTGTGTGTGTGTGTGTGTACGTGCGCGCGCCCTCCCTCCTCTGCTGCGAGAAGGGAGGCTCCAGCAACAGACAGGCAGCATCTATCCTCCCACCCTGGGGAGCCCAGTGACCCTGGAGGGTCCAGCTCACACCCTCTGGCTGTGGCGGTCGCCCGGCCCGGCCCCTCACGCGCCGCAGAAGCTGTCAGCCTGCTCCCCATCTCCGGCTGCCTTCACTCGCCGGTCCGCCCCAGAGCTCGCTCTCCTTCCCGGGGGGTCTGTACCGTTGTTGGCTACGTTCAGAGAAGTCTCACTATTGCCACGAGCGGGGACATAATGAGTTTAAAGGCCGCTGTATTTCCTAAGTTTTAATACAGTTTGCTTCGATGCTGTTGTTTATGACAACCGCGTGGCAACACCAGGCACAATCTAATGTTGGTTCCAATCCTTCTCCTCTTTCTTTACTCCCGTTTTCTCCCTTTTCCCAAAGTGGGACACACCCTAGTGTGGTGTTCAATGGGGATTGGTTTTGTGGTGATGGACCATTCACTACGGATTGATTTAAGAACCGCTTATTTAAATAAGTGGTTGTTCAGGGTCAGAGAGGATTGTTTCAGAAGGCAGTTGCATAGAGCAAGGTGGATTCGTGTTACACTGATCTTATTCACATTCAGAAGGCGTGATAGACATTTCATTCTTTCTGAAGTTCACGGTTGCTGAAAAAAAATATTTGCGAACTCTGCCACTTTTTCCGGTGAGATAGAGAATTTTGTACTTCTGTTTACTACTGGGTTCTTTTCAGGCACTTTCACTTTTGTTTCCCGTGAGTTTCCTTTCTGGTTTTGGGTTTTTCTGTTTTGCTTTGTTTTTGCCTTTTATTTCACAATTCAGAGCAGAAATGGACTCTATAGTTGAATAGGGTTCCTGGCTTTACAGGCAGAGGAACGGAAGCCCTGAGAGAGCTAGGAGTTGCTCTAGAGCACACATTTAATTAGAGCCCAGCTTTGATTGTGCCCTGTTCACCTGTCATTTCTCTTAGGGGATGGCGTTAGAAGATGGGGTAGGGACAGGACTCACTGAACATTGGTATGTGATTGTTGTGAATTATTTTTATTAGACTCACAGAGTTGACCACTCTCCCCTTTGTGCACCCACTGTGTGGTTTTTACATTTATTTCCTGATGCCTTTCACAGATCAGGGTACAGCACAGTTGCCGCATCTCCCTCTGAGGGTAAGCTCTGAGGGCCAGGTCCAAGCGATATCTATTTCCTATGTCCCATGTGTAGCACCATGCCTAGCAATGAATGAGCAAATGAAGGCCTGAAGAGGATCTTTTCCATAATTCCATCCTAGGAAATTCCTTTGATGTTTCTGGTGAAGCTAGAACACTGGAGATGCTTTTTGAGTCTTACACCTTTGTAGACCATTTTTGGCAGGCTTCTTTATTTACAAAGCCAGGCAAAACATGTTTCGCTTTTCTAAATTTTTTTTTCTTTGAGATGGAATTTCACTCTTGTTGCCCAGGTTGAAGTACAATGGCAGTGATCTCGGCTCACCACAACCTTCGCCTCCTGGGCTCAAGCGATTCTCATGTCTCAGCCTTCCGAGTCTCTGGGATTACATTACGTACATGCCACCACGGGCAGCTAATTTTGTATTTTTAGTAGAGGCGGAGTTTCTCCATGTTGGTCAGGCTGGTCTTGAACTTCCGTCCTCAGGTAATATGCCCACCTCAGCCTCCCAAAGTGCTGGGATTACAGGCGTGAGCCACCATGTACGGCTCTTTTTCTCAATTTTTTAAATCAGCTGCTTTCCCCCCATCATTTTACGATATTTGGTTCCTCTTCTTTAAATTCTTTCATATAAATAAATTAGTTATGCCAACACTTGTACTTTATGACTTACTTTCGCTTTTATAGACTCCAAAAGTTTGGTAAAGTTTAGCTGTGATTTAACCTGGCACAGACTGGAAGAAAATCATCCTGGGCAGACAAGACTCTGATTCTCCCTGGGATCAGTGAACTGGGAGGCTGGCGGTTGAGCAGGCAAAAGAGGGCTGTTGAAAAGATGTTAGCATTAGGCAAAAAGTACACATTTACCAAAAAAACAAACAAAACCAGAGAACAACTGCTGTATACAATTATATTTACAGCTCAGAGGAGGATCTGGATTGTCACAGATAAGTTCTTATACATGTGGACTGTTAAGGTTCCATTGCATGTCTGAACATGATCTGCATGTATTCCTCTGGATGGGATAAATGAAATTGTTATGACTGATTATAACATCTACAACCCATATGTTTAATCCCTGATAACAACAGTGTGATTATAATTTAAGTGTAACATCAGTTTGCAGTCAAGGTGGAGATGCAGTCTAATTGTATATGTAAAGTCATTTGTCCTTTTAATTATAAAACTGAACAGAAAAAAGAACATGGCTGAAAACATGTAAGAAATACCTTCATATCTCTTGTCTTACACACATGTACTCACATATTTTTTAAAAATCAAACTTTAGTTTTCTGAGATATCATGTAGTGGCTGATTAAAGGAAGTTTTTATAAGCACCTCACCAATCTTCCTCTCTCCAATATACACTTTAAAATGACAATTCCTGGTGTCATAGTGAGAGCATAGACTTTGGAGTCTGATACTAATCTCTGCTCTGCCAATTTGTTAACTATGTCAGTCTGGGCAAATTACTTATTTGTGATTCTATGTTTTTTTTTGTTTGTTTGTTTGTTTGTTTTTGTTTTTTTTTTTTTCTGAGACGGAATCTCGCTCTTGTTGCCCAAACTGTAGCACGATCTCGGCTCACTGAAACCTCTGCCTCCTGGGTTCAAGCAATTCTCCTGCCTCAGCCATCTGACTAGCTGGGATTACAGGCACCTGCCACCACACCCAGCTAATTTCTGTATTTTTAGTAGAGACAGGGTTTCATCATCTTGTCCAGACTGGTCTTGAACTTCTGACCTCATGATCCACCTGCCTCAGCCTCCCAAAGTGCTGGGATTACAGGTGTGAGCCACTGCACCTGGCCGTTTCTTAGTTTCTTTACCCGTAACATGAGCGTTATAACAGTTCAAAGAAGAGTTTTTAGAATTGAAGTGTAATCAAAATGTATTAAAACATATGTAAAGCATCTAGCATGACACTTGGAACATAATTTTCAATAAAGGATCATTATAATAATTTTTAAATTGCATTTTTATTTACCTCATACGCTTCCCAGAATTATTTTTTCCCTTTTGGCTGCCTGATCTTGGAAATTCAGTAAACCAACTATTAATGAAAGTTCTGCGACTAGGAAGCTAAATTAGGTTAGTTCCTGCCCTCAAAAAATTCACACTTCAGCTTTGGAAGAGACACAGATACAAGGAACTATACTGCTACTGGTAGCTGAAGGCGAAGACCACTTTGTACCAGTTTATGTTTCTCTACCTGAGATGTATTTAAGACTTTTTTTTTCTGAGATTTACTAATTTCCACATATGATAAAGCTTGTGGAAGCAGGAAAATTCAAGAAAAAAATTTCACATTTTCACATAAATGAGGAATATTATCTTTAAAATTTCATCTAATCAGTGTAATTCTTCAGCTTTAAAAAACAATTTTCTGGTCCATCATAAGAGGCAAGCTTCTGCTGCATTCATGTGAAAAATATGCCAGGTTGTACCTTTGAAGTAATATTGGAGAAAT